ACTGTAACCTGTCATAATAGACTGCATAATATATAACCTGTCTCAAAAAATTTCACTTATCGTTTCAATAATTCTTTTACTTCTATTCCCTATTCAGTTTCAAGAATTTTTCTGAACGGAATTGTAACCTGTGTCTTCAAAATGTGTATAACGTAAAGCAACTAACGAACATGGAGACATCTGAAAGACCATTGAAGTCTTAAACTTAGATTAATTCCAACAAGAATGATTAGTCTATAAGTGTTGCCAGAATTCAATTCACAGAATCTTAGGGATATTTGATCCACTGACTGGAATTTAGTTAGCTTAGTTGTGTGAATACTCGGTTTTTCACAGGAGATCAATATTTTCCTGTCCTATTTACTACAAGTAAGTTGATGCGCAGTAGCTTGTTTAAAAGCAAGTGATAAAAAGCGAAATTTATCCTTTCATATAAATTAGATACGTAAATAATCTTTGAGCATATGTTTACAAATATTGTCAATTTTGATTAAGCTTCCTGTCGTATCAACAAGAAACGTTGGACACAGTAGTTTGGTCGATTTCACGTTTATTTTTAAAGCGATAGACAATGAATTCGAATCTAGAATATAATACCACAACACAGCAGACACATTCAGTTAACGATCCCCGGATTCAACGAAAACTAGTCCTAAATATCATTGACAGCTATAATTCAAATTTTCATCATATTTCTTTATCGAGGCTATTGTCTCGAAATCCACATATGAATGAAAGGATGGGTTGATTTCAACACCGAGAAAATACAAACGCTTTATACTGCCAATAGAAAATTCAATTGACATTGTTTACCTGAATCTTCCCATTGATTTTTAGGACTTCAATTGATCAGTCTCTTATTGGCATATGTGCATACTGTGTGTATTTCCTCGGTATTGCCTTAATCCACAAGTATTACAAGTAAAGATGGATATTGACAAGCAGTGGCGTTTGCAGTGAACGGTATTGGGATGGAGTCCCAGGGTGAACACCAAATCTGAGATACAGGTACGTCCAACTGATGAGTCCCAAATAGGACGAAACGTGCGTCCTGGGTTGCACTGCTAGCCACTATCCATCTTTGCTTATCAGTATAAAATTTTGCGCTTAGATAAATAAGATGATGGAGCATAAAATGTATAACCATTTGGAATTATATTTAAGCAAAAAGGGTTTTTCCATCTTATGGTTTCCCTCCATAATCTGTCTTCTGATGGTACCGAATATGGTGAAATCGGTTTTGTTGGAAAGCGTTAACCGTAATTCTAACCGATAAGAACTAGTCATAAAAGTGTTGTTTACAATCTGGAAAAAATTGTTTCATTACATATTCGAATGCTGATAAATTTCTACTCTAATAACTGTTGCTACATTGTTGCTACCTATTTACTATATTCTATACGCTACTTCTACACTTGAACTTGAACGATAAGGATAAGACACAAAACATAAATAAACGCTTTACTCTAAGGTTTATTTATGTACAGGTTACAACCTTATTTGTAGGCTTATTGCCAACTGCCGGACTAGAAACTTCTGGAAACATAGAAAGTTCGGTAACAGACTTATTAATCATCCAATCATAGTTTAGCACAATCAATTAACTTTTTTAAAGATTTTCGTGACTTATACCAATTAGACGAAGTGCTCTCAGCCTTTTCTTGGCTTCTGAAAATCTTAACGAGAATATATCATTGGATCCCAACAAATAAACTTATCTTTCTTTACAGAAATTCAAAATGGTTTCAGGCTCCCAAATCATTGCTAAATGGATGAGTCAAATGTTTAATATGAAATATTCACTCCGAATTTAGTGTCAAACAAAGTGATTTACTTGTGATATGATCAATGTTAATAACATTTAACATGTTCATACACCCGTTTACCCTCCATATGTAATGAATGATAGATGTAAAATTGTAATTCAAATGAATCATTATGAAAAAGCATGGTGCAAAATACTTCGGATCCATTGGCCGGACACTATTAGCAACAACCTACTGTGGGAAAGAACAAACCAGATCCCAGCAGAGGAAGAAATCAGGAAGAAGCACTGGAAGTGGATAGGACACACATTGAGGAAAGCACCCAACTGCGTCACAAGACAAGCCCTCACATGGAATCCTCAAGGCCAAAGGAAAAGAGGAAGACCAAAGAACACATTACGCCGGGAAATGGAGATAGACATGAGTAAAATGAACAAGAATTGGATGGAACTAGATAAGAAGGCCCAGGACAGAGTGGGTTGGAGAATGCTGGTCGGCAGCCTATTCTGCATTAGGAGTAACAGGCGTAAGTAATTAAGTAAGTAAGTAAACGAAATTTTCAGATAGTTTTTATTATTATAGATATAATAGTATTCTTCATTAAAGAATCCTTAATTTTATACATACACATTGTAGTTCTAAATCACTTTTATATTTCTGAAAAGTAATCTTAAAACAAATCACTAGTTTTATTGAATATACTTACTTGTATACAAAAGTGTTCATGCCTAAAATCATTTGAATCCGATCGATTTTTTTTAGTTTATTCTCACTTAAATAAATGTAATCCATTTTTGTGATTTCCCTCAAAATATATTGATTAATTTTAAGGTCATAAGGAAGACATAATATGTTGACCTTATTTTCGTAATAGAACATTATAGTTTTAATCAATTTTTATTTATTTTAGTTTTGGGAAATTTTCAAGGATTATAAAATGTAAAGGTTGTATTGTTTAAAAAAATAGTTTATATTAAAGAAATGTTGACATACTGTGTAACTTGTTCTTTTTTTTCCTTTTAGCAATTCATTTGACAGTTGCTATAGCCGTTATATACTAATGGTCACAGTAACCATAATATTTTTTAAAATGTTTTAAGGGTTTTCTGTTAGTAAAATGATTTTAACAAGAAAAAAAGGTTTATTATGATGTTTTTACTTCGGAACACTTTTTGAATTGTTAAACTGAAAAAAAAGGTTTCACAGAGTTGAAATACAAAACTAATAAACAGTTTTAGTATTTAATGAAACTTTAAGAGGTTAGTATGTTGAACATGGAAAGGCTTATAAGATATCTTATTCAACCATATTCTACAATAAGAAGACCAGTATTAATGAAATGTAGAGATAGCTTACATTATGAGCTAACATAAGTTGGAAAACTGTTAGATACTTGAGAATACTGAATGGAGATTTTTACTATAGTTTTAAACTACTTAACTGTGCACAAATACAAACATGTCAAGGATCGAATTCAAGACCTTCAGGTATGACAACAAGTGTGTTGGCAATAAAATTCAAAAGTTAATACTTTTAATTATAGTTATTTTGTGTGAAAAAACACTTGATGTCATCAGTAAGTAATTGTCTTACACTTGATATGGTCACATCTCTTCAGTCATGGCTCCTCAATGCAACTTCGGTCGCTAATCTTGCAGTTAATTACTGGTGACTACATGTGAACGAATTTGTGGAGACCAGCTCAATTTCTCTTCCTCACGAACTAGCATCAACCGAATAGTCGTGGAACTCTAAGAAGTACAGGAAGATAGAAAGTATACTAAAATTAAACTAATCTTCATAAAGTTGCTCAGTCCAATTACTGTCAAATACTGCATTTTAAGAAAGCGAATTTCCTAAACATCAAGAATAATAAATAATTCACAACGATCAGAGACGATTATGCACTTGTGTTCACAGTAATATACAGTAAATATAAAAATGTTTATTTATGAAGATTTCTTTTCTTACAAGCAATTTACAATAATAGTCCAATACTAGTAAACTAAATATTCAACGTGAAATACACTCTGTGGGATTTAGAAAGTAACCAATTTTCAGTTAAAACGTAGATGGATTCTACTATTTTCATTCAGTAAAATGCTATGGTACGGCCGAGTATGGGTAGAGTCAGCTCCCCCACGCGAAATCCTCTCATATGGCCACGTGTATACAGCCACTCACAATGAGGTCCCACTCACTCAGTTCTCTTCACGGAGGTGTTGCTTACGAAATTGAAAGAACGAAAGGCGATTGTCTGGCACTTCATCCCGGTTGGTGAATACAGAGGGTCCATCTAGTAGAGTTGGAAAACTCTGATTCCAAACCAATGGTTCACAAGGACTCCAGTATCCTGAAGGAACAAAAGGTGTATTAACCTATTATTGGTCACCGGCTACCATGTGACTGCATCTCGTGACGTTGCTCCACTGCCTTATGGATCAGACCATTAGGTACAAGACTCCAGGTGTGGCCACCCAATCTGGATCACAGCCCACACACAAATTAAGTGACTTGTGTGTCACATATGTATTCGGCGTACCTTTGTACCAATATTTACGTGTTCAAATAAAATAATAAAATAAATAAATAAAAATACAAAAACAAAAGAGATTGCTTTCTTTAGATCTAATATGATTATCATTGTTAACTTGTCACTTTACTACATTAATAGTAATGATAATTAGAATACATACTCATTAAATCGATACATCATCTCAGTGTACTTTCATACCAATTTTCAACTATATTTCAAGAAAATTAATTTTATTCCTTATTCATTTCAATGGTAAATCGTTCGAATTATCTTAATGGTGACAAATAAATAAAACTTTTTTTATAAAGAAAAAAGTTTTGTTTGTAAAATTCTCATCTTTAAAATGATTTTTTTTTGCAGGAAAGTACAATATTCATTAATTAATAGTTACCACGTGCTTTTTATACAGGATACAATTGATAAGTTTGTTCATATTGTTATGATTAAAGACTGATTTTTTTGTTTAAAAAAAAGCAGATTAGATTTGTTACTAGAGGAATGAAGTTTATTTTGTAAATATGGAAAAAATAAATAACTCATTAGTTTACTTTTTACATTATTGTGCACAAATAAAGTTAATTTAGAATACAGTTTATTTGAAAGACATTTCAATAAAGTGATGCTTCAACAATGTAATTCAGTGACTGACATTGTATTCATATCTTCATTGTTTATAAAGCGGATTATTATCATTAGTATTATTCAGGTTTTGATGTTGAACAATCAAATATAGTCCATCTTCTTTTACTGCTTATCTCATGTAAGTTTTTTGATTTCTACAAAATTCAATAGAGTATAAAGATAAATAGAGAAAAAATATTTTAAAACATCACAATAATAATATGAAATGATTCTTTACAGAAATTGAATGAGTCTAATTGCCGTTATTAGTTTTCAAATACTCAAAATCAGCAGTTTTAATTTTTCGAAAAGACAAACTTGTGGAGATTAAACAATTTTTTTTAGTTCAAAACACCAACTGGTTTTCTCTAGACCACCATTGAAAAATTGAAAGGACTGAAGAGTCGTTTCGTCTCAATACTGGACACTTCAGGAGTACACATCCACTACTCCTAGTCCGTAACTCAAAAATACAAGAAGGCCGTGATAATTGGAGTTCAGCCATATCTAGTGTGAGACGCTTATCCACTGTGGGCAATAGATGAGGGTAGTTCAATAGCGTGAACTAAATTGTTGTTAATTTATACAATGTTTACTGTCAGCAAATTTGTTTTTAATTTTTTATCTTCAGTGAATGCATTTTCCTAGATGCTTTCACAATATAACACATTTTATTTTCCTATAAATTTTCAGTTGAATACAGAAAACCATGGCAAACGAGATCACAGTACAATGTTCTATTTGTAACCTCAGCACAAGTACAACCATATGACAAGTCCATTGACTTTAAATTTTTGTCTGGTAATGTCTTATGGTAATCATAAATCTATTAAGTAATTTGTAGTGATAAATGAATTTCCAATATAGGCACCAATTAACCCTGACATTCTCAAACATGTATTGTCTTTGTCGGTTTACGTGAACCTGAAGACACAATGTCATACATACTTGGTGTTTTACCAAACACCTAATAATGTCTTTTCCGAGAACTTCTGTTTTTCACAAACATAGTTGATCATGCAGACCAAAATTCTTTTCTCTCTTAATTGTGATAATTTGGAATGTGAGTAACGGCAGAGGGTGGGGTGAGTCAGCTACCCCATGCGAAATGCTCTCACATGGCCATGTGTATACAGCCACTCACAATGAAGTCCTACTCACACAATTCTCTTCATGGAAGTATTTTTTACGAAATTGAAAGAACGAAAAGCGAATGTTTGGCGCTTAATCCCGGTTGGTGAATACAGAGGGTTCATCTAGAGGAGTTGGAAAACTCTGATTCCAAACCAATGATGCACAAGGACTCCAGTATCCTGAGGGAACAAAAGGTGTATTATCCTATTATTGGTCACCGGCTACCATGTGACTGCATCTCGTGACGTTGCTCCACTGCCTTATGGATCAGACCTTTAGGTCGATGGCCCCGGGTACGGTTCTTTAAAAGAACCACCTACTTTGATCCAGGTACCCGATCAGTATCACAGCCCACGCACAAATTGACTTGTGTGTCACATATGTATTCGGTTCTCCTTTGTACCAATGTTTATGTTTTCAAATAAGTAAACAACCGTTGAATTTTAAATTTACGTTTGTCATTGAATAGTTAGTGTTTATTACTTTTAATTAGTAAATTTGTAAGTTTATTTAAATTTGCATTTTCATGGGGAATTTGACTTCCACTATTTTCTTTTTTCAACTAACATAATTATTAAAAATTATATATAAACTTCTAACTGAATTTAAATTAGCATTAAATTGACCGGATTGCAAAGTAATATTCATTTAAACAATTGGAAAGATTAATAAACATAGTTCAGTTTAAGTTCTTAATTAAGAATTCCCATTTTTATTTACATTCTATGGCTTTGGTCAAATAACCAGTCTCTTGTTGATTGGTAATAAAAGCAATGCTTGATATTCGTGGTTTATTGTTTATAGACATCAATGAGGGATTTGAAATTGACACGAAATAGACAGAGAATATCCATTTAATACCATCAAATTTCAATCTACTTATTATAATCGACTTAATTCGTTCTGTGATTTAATTTGTCCTTCTGCCACACGTAGTTAAAGGCATTAACGTTTATGTGATGTGAAAGAATCCAGGTACTTGGATAAATGTTTTCCAGCTTTTACCGTTTTATTTACGATCGTCGCGATGGTGATCAGATTACCGGCCAATTTCTTCTACATAGAGAATCTGTTCATAAATAGCAGCCATTGTTGCCAAGGCTAAATTTCCTATTTATCCTTATTCTCCCTTATTTGTTAACACTTAAACAGTTTACCAATAATAATAGGCATTAAATTATCAATCAAATAATCCATATTTTAAGAATTTTTGCGAACTCTGAGAATTTCTTTACTCATAATTTGATCTGTTAAATTTTTTATCATTACCGACACATACAATTTAAAATTCGTAAATACCTTTAATTAACTCACAACCACCAGACTGTCACTGTATAACTTGGTCATAACAGTTGATTTTACGATAAAAAATTAACTGAGATGAAAATGCTGAGTGGAAATGGTGTTGTTTTTTAGTTGACTGTTATACAGCTAATATGATACACTTATAACTATACAAATTATTAGGTTTAAAAGATAACAACAATTTTGTTGCTTAGTTACGTTGTTTACAATGATCTCTTCTTGGGTGTTTAATTTTTGTTATAGCTTCATAACATTAAGTTGTTCTTAGAATATTATTCATTTTCAGTTTATTTACGGATGAGGGAGGGGTTCATGTCATTTCTTAAATTCATGTCCATAAAGTAAACAATAGATTTTTATTCGTCTTTAAATGATTTCAAACTGTTTAGTATTAATTTAGTACTGAACTGACTAACCTCATTAGTACATAAATTCCTTGAACGGATGATTCAGTACTGCCTAGATTTACTTATTGGTTATATTTTGGAGAGTTGCTGATCACTTCATTCCATTGAAAAAGTAAGTGACCAACATAACTCATCAGTCTAGTGTCGGATGCTTTTGAAGCAAAGGATACTTGTGTTAGATCTCTCTGTGAACATCAACACGGATGCAGGTATATACGTTAAGATTAATTCCATAAAAGTTTAACCATGTATCTTGGATTCAATCACTAACAAAACATAATATGTAGATTTAATCCTTGTTTTAACATTGATTGTTACCAAATGAAACTTTCAAATGATTTATGATTCAGCCTACCAATACTCATTTCATATCTTATCTACTGTTCCTGTGAACGCACCGCCAGTCTTACTACTAAATTAAACACTATTGATTTACCTATTATTGTTTTCAATGAGAAAGAAAAGAGAATAAAACCATTCTGTTGGTCGAGTTTCAAGTCGTTATTAATGGAAAACAATGTTTAAATTATATAAGATGGTTAGTTTCGTAAGGGAAAATAGAATTAGCATCAATAATGTAATATTTTTTTCTAAATAAGACTTTGTATATATATAAACATAAGAATTTTATTTAAATGATCTAAATTTTATCATTTCACACGGTTTCACAACTATTCTATAATATTCATTCTTCTAAATAACAGTTCATTTGACATTCTTTATGATACAAAGTAACGTTGTTAAAGATTTGTTGAATTAATCAGTTTGTCATTGTAATAATAATAAAAAGTTCTATATCAAATTCGATAGCCTATATGATAATGTCATGAAGATCCACAATAGGACATTTTCAAACTTTCTCAGTATAAGGTCGTGGAAGTTGTTGAATTTCATTGAAATTATGAATAAATTTAAGTTAGAACACCATCGGAAACCTGGACGCCCTGAGCGGCCGCTTCGTCCTAGTATGAAACATTCACAAAGCGGTTGATGATTTCAATAAAAACCAAATTTTCTATTAATAGGATACAAGGGACTGTGGAATACCACTCATTCCAAGCACTTATTACCTTAGAAGTGTATCTCTTTTGACAACATAATATTTATTAAAATAACTCTTCAAAAATCATGTTTAATAAAATACTATATTTACCTTTAAACTCTCTTCAAGTTCATCACCAACTAAACTTAATCTTGATACTAATTTACCAGAATTCAGTCCTTCATGAAATCCAGGCAGACTAACTGATTGTCGTCGACACATAATATTATCGAATTGAAAAGAGTTTGTTCGAGATTCTCTTACTGTGTGTGACTCATTGTAGTTGTATAAAGTTTCACGTGAATACTAAAATGAAAGAGATAAACTATTAATATAGGTGAATACTTTTCTAAGTTGCTGACTTTAAAAAGTGTATAGATGCTAATACCTTTGTATTTTAGTAGGGTGGTATGTAGTTAATAAATTAATTGGAAAATAGTTTCAGTCATGAATCCATAACAATTGAAGGATCATTGATAACTGTATCTGGACAAGTTTAAGCAGGGATATCTGTAAAACATCCAAATATAAAATAATCACGAATTTCCTGATGACTAGTTTTGAGGTAAATTTAGAATTTTCTGCTGGGGGGGGGTTAAATCCAAACGGATCGTAAATAGGTTAGTTACCCCTGATATCATCGTGTGATGATCCCGATTTACCTTGAATCAAAGAGACCTGAAAATGTGAATCACCGGAATTCAACTCAGAGGTTTGAGTGTATCTTACTCAATGAGAGACTTAAGATAAATAATTTGGTCCCATATGGTGGGTTCGTGACTAAACAATAAACCAAGGCAGTTGTACAGTACTTCTTGGCATTTATTGGTTTGCCAAATGACTTGAGACCATGAAAAAAGATATTCCAAAAGTCTGCAGTTTTGTCTAAAATTTCTGGAAATCAGTTACTGGTTTCTCGAGTATAACCTTAAAAAACGTAATGAATTAAGTACAATTGAATAATTTGATGAGTGAAAATTATTTATAAATCAGTGGGTTTTATAATCATTTAATCTGTACTATGTTATTTTGACTTATTCTTAATTTTTCATATAATTTTACTTGAACTGCGTTTGAAAGAGTTATATTTTATTCAAATCAATGTCTTTTCTTAGAAACCCCATGGCATAGCCAAGGGTGGGGAGTGTGAGCTCTCTCACGCGAAATGCTCTCACATGGCTACGTGTATACAGCCACTCACAACGAAGTCCTACTCACTCAATTCTCTTCACGGAGGTGTTGCTTACGAAATTGAAAGAACGAAAAGCGAATGTCTGATGCTTCATCCCGGTTGGTGAATACGGAGGGTCCATTTAGAAGAGTTGGAAAACCCTTATTCCAAACCAATGGTTCACAAGGGCTCCGGTATCCTGAAGGAAGAAATAACGTATGTACATGTTGGTGATCACCGGATACCATGTGACTGCATCTCCTGACGTTTCTCCACTGCCTTATGGATCAGACCTTAAGGTTGAAGACTCCAGGTGTGGCTCTCTAAGCGAACCACCTAATTCGATTTGTGCACCCGATAAGTATCACAGGCCACACACAAATTAAGTGACTTGTGTGTCACATATGTATTCGGTTCTCCTTTGTACCAATATTTATGTGTTCAAAAAATAGATAAATAAAAACGCTAAACAATCGTTGGATTATGTGTTTAAGCAATAGCCTTTTATGGCTTTGGTCATGTAACTGTCCGTTCTAACTTGTATCTTCGAAATCAGGAATAGTTTAATTTTATCTTTCACCCAAATTTATGATGCATTAAATGCTATCTTTTCAGAACGTGCATTAGAAATTCGTGCTATTGACAGACGTATTTTATTGTACTATATGATAACTCATATCCTCAATTTCATCAGTACCTGTACTCAATTTTTACGTTTGAGCTATCGTTTTAGTGTAGGATACTTCAAAAAATCTCGATTAAAAATAATATCACTTTAATACCTTATAACGGGAGAATAGTGTTTTATCAATAGTTGAGATCATGATTTAATTGAAGCTAGACCATAATGGAAAACTTACCTTAAATTGACTCATGATCTCAACTATTGAAATTACTATAATATCCACAAACTCCCTTCTTATAGTGTTTTATGTTAGATTCATATAAATCTACAACTGTGAAGCTAAGAATTGATTGTTGCTAGAAGAAATGAGACACCAATAAATTTTTTAAATTTTTTTTGAGCGGTTATTATTAATAGATCGTATGATGCCTTATCAATGTTTATAGTATTCTGATACTTGATCATACATATATTCTAATCCAATAGCATACCAAACACTTTTGATTTAAAAAAGTGTTCGTGTATGGAATATAATACATGTATTCTGGAAAACTTAATTACGCTTTACGGATCATGATGATAGTTGAATATCTGTTTTTCTGACTGAAGATTTATAAACTTAGCAATCATACTATATATGATAGAGGGATGACTATTAAAGTTATCATGAAAATAAAGTCGTTATGAGGAACTCTGTAGTTCTCTTATTTATCATTGTCCAACTGTGATTAGAAACTTCCAATGTCAACCAGTTTTTTTTGTTTCATTCCAATCAAAACGTCATACGCCTGCTCTTCTTGTGGTTACTGGAAACACAACTGGTGGGACTTAATTAAATCAACTGTCTTATTATGTTTGTTGTTCAAAGAATATTCGGATACAGCAGTCAAGCATATAATTGTTATTCTGATCTGGTCACAAATTCAGTTGAACAGTTTGGTGGTTATCCAAAATTTACCTGTAGAAACTTTATCGAGAACTCAGGCTTTTTTATTCTATTAATCTTACATTAAAATAAAGTTAGGGAACCGAAAGACACATTCAACTGCTTTTTTAACAAAAATATGATGAGCAGTAAGTGGCGATACTCATAAACATGGAAGCTTTAAATTCCGGATTGATTAGAAACTTGAAAGTAATTTAGATTAAATGTGAATAGTTTATTCTTTCTAACGCATATGAGTTTAGCCAAATAATTGTTGAAACTAATACATGATTATGTATATCTCAGTATTGAACCTATTAAGATTCCTGTCAGAAATGTTTTAAACTCTTTCCCATCACTAGCGAATAAAGATGGATTTGCAATGTGTTATTTCAAATATATGGCCATTTAATCCAAATAAATGGGCTGTTATTTAGTCATATATACATATATATATTGCCTGCTAATAATTGCATAGTCAAACACTAATTTATTATTTGATTAATTTCTTTTATTCTCCGGTAATTTTCAAACTGGTGGCTTGTTCGTTCACAATCAAGGCATTTTGTTAATTCTTTCAATGTTATATATTTCCATGGTACTGTATAAGATATTTGAGGTGGGTCAACAAAACTAATAGGATAATTTAATCAAGAACTACTATGTTGAAAAATTTGATTCAGAATGAAATACTCATTTCTCCTCATTTCAGTTTCGCCTTGTTAAAATATCATTGGATGCTATTTACCTTTAAGTGTTTAACACAGATTTTAGTATGGTAAGGTATTGATTGACTGAAGTTAGTACTAAATATGCACATCACGTCCATATGATCGCATATATATTCAGTTATTTTAAGTGTTACTTACTACTTTATAGATGACAGTTCACCAAAACTACTTGCTCACTAAGTGTATAAATGCTGTATGTTAATGATATGATTTGCCTTTTATTTTCAATGAGAGGAATTGTGTATCAAAACTCTCTAGATAAGGGTGTCTTTGAAATCATATACAGTATGGGATTATAAATCAATGAATAATTTTATCATCAAACATTGTATTAAATATCACATTTATTGGTTTCTTGTCTTGTTTTCGAGTAACTTTACTTCTGTAAAGATGAGTCGAAATGACGTGCATCATAAAGATGTGATTCAATAGGGTGAATATCAAATAAGGTGAATTTCATGAAAACGAGCATCAAAAAGAGGCACATGAAAAGCAAGTAGCATTTAATTTCGAAATGACTTAATTGCCAGCCACAGAAAACGTACAGATGTTCAATGAAGTTACAATAATTAGTTCAAGTGAAAGTGTAATCAGATGGATGAACTAGTAACTATTATTTTGTAAATGGATTATTTTATTTTTTATGCCTTTCTGAAATAGAGTTAGGGTACATAAAAAGTAACAAAGAAGGTTTGTTTTAATATTTTACTGTTTCCGAAAAGAGAACGTACTTAATGATGAGAATTCGTGATTTACGAAATACCATGTAACAAAGTGTAAGTTGTGCTGTCAGACGAACTGTGAATGTACTTAAGAGAAGGTAACAGAATATAACCACGTTTCTGAAAAAGCTAGGGTAGATGCAAAATGCGCAGTCAGAATAATAGAAGATCGAACTTCTTCAACAGAAGCAACCCATCTGATTGTACCTATGGCATCTACCGGTTCTTTGGATGGGTGTTAACTCAACTACACTGCCTGTGGTGCGGATGGAGCATAAAGTTTGTCATGGCCTTCAATTAAATTTACCAAATCTAAACTCAGATGATACATCAACAAGCTTGTCGGAATAGGAGCCGACTGCGAGAGGTGGGTGTTTCCTTCTGAATGATAGGAGATCAGATGAAGAACTCATTTTTATATTTCTACAACTAAAAATATGGGATTGTTAGGGGATTTCGTCATTGATATCATTTTGCAATATGCAAGATATCTTCATATTTGTTCATGTAGATCTACACTGTTTACACTATGACGTTTTATCTCGTTAACTTATTGTTTATCAATATAACAAGCGATAGAAGTACTAATTCGTACGTGAACATCTTTAAGAAATTAAATGAACTAAAATTAACTTTTAATCCATCAGTTATTATAACTGATTGCAAGCATTCAACCAAATTGGTATTTCAAATACTTTATTCAAATGCAGTGCAACAAGGTTATTCGTTCCATCTAAGCCAATGTATATAGCTGAGGCTACAGCAATCATTTAACCATCAACAAAGTTATACTACAGATCAACATTATGCTTTATACATTCATCAGTTACAAACGTTTGCTTTTTTCCGTCTCCAGATGTTAAAATTACATTTGACAGTCAAATGGGGTCACTATTCTTGTAAAAAAATGAATAAATAAGGGATAACAAACTACTCCGAAGACAATCGGTTTAGGAAACCTACAGCATGGAGAGGCCTCAACCGATTTACTTTTTGAATTGTACTGTGCAACGCCAACAGTGTTGGGTGTAATCAACTCAGTGAATACCTTCATTCTAGCATTTAAAAAGAAGGAATAATGCTAAATGAGTTGAAATTTGGATATTTCGTCCCATGAATCCAGCTACAGTACGAAAATAAAAAGCACAATGACTTAGCAAAGCACATTAAACTGGTTTTAGAAGACTATAAGAACAGATAATTGCCAGAATATTTATGTGGAATGGCACTCAGTTTGATTTTATATATTTATACATTAAATTGTGCTACAAAGTTAAGAAATGTAAATAAGATTTACATCTGGATTATTAGGTCACCTTTCTGATAGTCGTTCTTTCATACCCACTCTTATTAATACTTGTCCTTTTGTATGTGCCCTTGTTGAAGGATATCCCAGTGATACCACTAACACAAAGTAAATATTCGTATCAATATACTACATTGATTATTTTTTTAGAAAAAAATATTCATACAGAAAAAGTTTAACCAACCTCAATTTCATTTGATATATCATTAGGATTCATAATATATAATTCATTGGATGATTGAACAGCTGATAAACTTATTTTCTTCTTATATTCTGAATCTTTTGATGTTTTTCTTGAAGAAGATGCAGACCAAAAATCTTCATCATCTGAATAATTAGTATTTATTGTTGATAAAGATGATGAACGTCTTCGTCGAAATACTGACCGTTGCGTAGTCATTGATAAAATACGAATTAAAATCAAATACACTGTATTCATATAATAGAAATCAAATTGAGATTATGTTTTTACAGTATAGTTATTTACCAACATAATTAATAGAAATTCAATTAAATATATTCAATTGTTAATAATTAATATGACATAATAAATGTCTATGAAAATAATCTCCAAGTAATACTTCACTATAATGTTTAAATGTAAACTATTAGTAGAAAAATATCTTCTACTTATTGACTCATAAGCAGTTTATTTTTATGATAAAATTTAACGGGCGATAAATAGACAGGTCATAGAGATAATTGTATATCCTAGTTATCAGCCTATTGGTTTATTCTTTTGACAATACAATCAATTGTACATATGTGCTCTTTTATTAAGCCTTAGTGATTTGTACTTATATTGATATAAAAAAAAGTAGCAACTAAATTAATGTCACATTTATACATCTATTCTTTGATCTTATTTTATTCAGAATTTAATCCTTGAACTTTAAAATGAAAGAAGGGGAATTGTCCTTAAACAAAAAAAATAAGCTTTTTTACCCTCCTTGAGTTAATAAATATCATTCTGGATAATAAATCAATAATGACATTAGATAATGAATTATTTTATACCCCATGTATCCTATTAGTAATGTTATACGATTAGTAGTACTGTAGTGAAGGAGAACACAGGTGAGGACAACCGAATTATCTTTAACACAACATTACATAGTTACTTGGTAAAATAGAAAAACCATACTATAATACCTAATTTGCAAAATGTTCAATAATTGTCTCGAACTTCGTTGTTCTTGCACTTCCATACTAATTGCTTTCTATTCCCGTTCTTCCTTTCTTGGTCTTTCCCATCTTCTGCTGCCAGACATTACATTCCTGACTCGCGTTATATACTACTTATAACAATATAAGTAGCACGCACCACAGTACTTATAACATTTCGGATGATTTGTTAAAACAGATAACACAGTAATTCTGGATGCGACTTGTTTTATATAACTTTTCTTAAATTTTATTGTAAGCTTTCAATGGAATTAAGCGACTTATTAGGTTTTGGATCTAGAAAATTGGTTGATGATTATTGAGTCTCAATCGATATAGTCATTATGGGAAACAAGTTATTTACCTACTTTATACCAACATACTAAGAGCACCTTTAAAGGCCAATGCTTAACACATTGATATGCTTATCACTAGTATAAAAAAGAAATGATACAAGTCGATCAGGAGGTTTTTCGTTTGTAATCGTTTAAGCAAAATATACATTTGGACAAGATCATACTATTGCATTTTACTTGGTAGAATTATATTGTTCGAAGTGTCTTGTTTTATATCAGAGATTTTTATCCACACTACTCTGTTGATAATGGAACATTGTCAACATCAATGTATACATCAAACTTTACTCCATATCTTAAAATGATCAGACAACTATTGAGTGTATGCTTGTTTTTGACTTTATTTATATCCTATAGAAGTTTTTTTATCTTGAAGAGGATCATACTAAACTGTCAAGTGAAATTTCGGGTTATTATATTTTAATTTAATAATTGAATTCATGAGTCAATTGAAGCTAGACCACCGTGGAAAACCTAGAACCACTGAACGGCTGTTTTATCCCAGTTTGGGACTCCTCAACAGTGCACAGCCATGATCCATATGTTGCATCTTTTTTTATACACCAAACGCTCAACAATTGTGAAATTACTCTTCTAGATCCGATGGGATGGTATTTCAGTTTATTGTATTAATCATTCATAAAAAACCAAATCAATCACATACATCTTTTAAATGAACAGATATTACAACACAATACAACGGACTATCCAAACCTATTTATTTAAAGTAACTGGTTTATATGCAAAAAGATCTACCACAAAATTTAAACTATGCTTAAAGATCATTTCAATACAAACGACCATGAGAAATAGGATTTTGTGAATCACACAAATGAGCTAATAATTTTGAAACTTTGGTGACATTTATGATCTGGGATTCTATTTTTGATTCATCAAAGATTTAGTTTTACGGAACTTCTCTTGCTAACCATTATGGTACAAACAAAACATTTCGAATTTAATTATTAATAAAGTTATATATATATATATATATATATATATATATATATATATATTGTGGTGTCGACTATTATGTTAAGCCCATATACCTTATTCTAGCTTTGGACAGCCCATTCTATTCATTCTACTTGAGTCACGTTTTGACCGTGTTAATTACTCGCTTGACTGTTTTTATATGAGCTCATATGTCTGCGTACATTTCTTATCCCATACTCGTCACATGTCTGTAACCTACTTTTGTGCGACTATAAATATTGAATAACGTTTGGTTAAATGGGTGTTGGCTTACCCACCATCTCCACTACCCGCCGTTTCTCTTCTCTCTATTCCATTCGCTTCATATACATTCTCGTTATTTGAATTATCTAAATCCGTTATTGACTAACGCGAATAAAGTCGATGATTATATACGAGGATAGGCGACATACATATCTCAACAATAATCATCATTATGATCTCCTTGAAGTCAGATCTCGGGCCACTAAGGTGGAGAGCCCTTTCGACAACATCGTCCGGTCTAAATGACGATTAAAATAGCGGGCCTCCACAATGTATATTCTACTTTTACAAGAATCTAAGATTTAAACCGATAGATTTTAGAAGAACAAGATTTCATCAAAGACATCATCGTCATCATTGTCATAAATTTATTAATAATTGAGTTACCAATAATTTACAAAAAGAAAACAGAATTCATGATCAAAATATTTCCAATATTTTCTATGCATGAATTGGATATTGTAATGCAGTATATATAAACTATTTTTATACAGTGATTACATACGTACATTTTTTTAAAAATTGGCTACCTAGATTGTGTACAGCTAGTGTGAATATAACGTAAGAAAGTAAGTGAAACTAATTTTCAAAAAATACTATTCTAATTAGTGTTTGATTCAATTACAGGAAATAAACACAAATCGATACTTCTCATTCTGTCCCTGAAATACATCTTCAATTAACGCATTAAGTAGATGCAATTGACTACCACTCACTGAGAGAAGACAGTTAAGTGGTCACAGTGAATACATTTGTGGTGTATGGTACTTATGTTGGCAGATGTAAGTAGCATGTAACGCCAATCAGAAGTGAGATGCTTGTCAAAAGAAGATTGAACTGAAGAGAACAGAAGGGAATTGGAATAAAAACAGAATTGAAAGGATCATGAAGTATGTGAAGGACAAGTGGAGGAAGATATTCACATAATTTGTTTAATGCACGATTCTCACACTTTACTTAATCACTGTGTTATTGTGCATTAAACAATAAACTTATCTTCCCCACCTGAGTTCTCGTTCACTGCATATTGACCAGAGACAGAATTAGTCATTTCACATTACATTTTAAATCAGTCGACCTAAGCTATACAAACACAGGCGCTGAGTTTCTTTATCTTACATATTTCATTTCTTATCTAAAACTTGATAAACATTTTTCTTTGATTTTCTAATTGACTGTTTCCTAAGTGACAATTAAAAATGAAACTTTTATGAAATTACTTTTACAGATTTATGAACCATGTAGAAATATTGTTTTATTATTTTGCATACTGAATTCAGTCTCCAATGAATACATTCACAAATAAATGAATGATAATTCGTGAATAGTGGAAAATGGTCTACCATTACGAATCATCAACTATCAAATTTAAACATTAATATTCACCCCTGTTAAAACTCTTGATTGAATGTAAAATTTACAACTTCAATTAACAAGTACTTGTTCTTTAGGTTACACTTACATTATGTCATTAAGTTGTCACTAATCACGGTAACTGTTTAACAGCATGTTAACAGTTTGACATTGAAAAACAAAGTTCTATTTCTTCAATGAATATTTAATTTCAACTACCAGTTTGATCAATAAATGATATCCTACAAGGTCATTAATTCATTCATTGCTTATATACAAACAAAGCAACACGTCAATCACCTGAACTAAGTCATAATAACTAAACTTGAATGTCCTACTAAATTCTAAGAAAAGCAATTATCTATTCACTTAAATATTGATTGACCGTTAATAAATGAAATTATTTAGTTATCATTAACCAGTTAATTCTCATCAGTTTGGTTAATTCAATAAAATCTGGAAATTCAATCGAAATGATGAGTTAATTCTGACGATATTTTATATAAGTTACGAATGTCTAAAGATAAGATATTTTACATTGGGTATAAATAAATGACAGTCTCTCGAACTGATTTTCTTTCCTGAAGATAGCTATCTTCTAAAAATGTAGTCTTATAAATTAATGTGGTTACGATCCTTTTTTCTTATGATCCCTTTGGTGATTTGTAAGAGATTTTAATGACTTAAATAGTGGCCATACGTTCTAGACTGATATTTAAGGAAGTGGGAATTATTGACAAGGGTTTGTATGTTATATAAATATTTTGTTCTGGATCAACTCATAATGCGTGTAAGGATACACAGAACAGGTTTACTTGATTGAAAGGCAATCAAATAAGGTATGATAATGATTGGAAAACCATCGAATTGGATTAATTTGAAAAACAGACTAGTAGATAGACTCAATGGTATTAAAGTTTTAATCAGTATGACTTTTCAGTTCTCTCTATGAATTGTTTTGAATGTGTTAAGCATTAAAGCTTCTCATTATTTTTGAATAAGCTTAATCCAAAATGCGACTGATGTTCAGCAGATGTAGATTTCCAAAATAAGAAACTGTAAGACCGAATTAAAACAATTCTTTAACCAAAAAGAATAGATTTTTTGTCTTTTACATGAGAAAAAACACTGATCGGAAATAGATTAGTCATAGACAATTACTAAATAAAATCTCTAAAGGATTCATGTCAAAAATCCTAGCACCCTCAAAAATTTTGTTTTTTATCAAACTGGAGAAATTCGTTTGAGTTTTTCAGCGACTTATACATAACAGTTTTATAAACAGATAACATACTCAATGTTTTATACTTTAGTTTTATAGTTCATA